AGGGACCAGGGCTGTGGTGTCCACCACGTCCATTCTCTTTTCTTTTAGGGGAGATCACAAGCTGATACTGTGTTTTGCAGTGTGTACCTGACTCTTTACTTGGGTAAGGCCTCCAGGAGCTGGGTTTAATGGTTTCAGTTGTTAATTTTCCCATAGTAGTCTCTATTTTCTAGTTATGCTATAGATGTGGATGATAGGTGATTTTGTTTGCTTTCCTTGTGCACCTGAAAGCTTTTGTAGGATGCCTGAAGAGACTGTGATTTCAGTGGCTACCATTATCTTACAGAAACTGGGAAGTCATACTCTGACCACTAACGAATGTTTTAGTGCTTCTCTCACATAGGCTCCACTTTAAATAAACACTGAAGCCCAAAATATAAACACAAAGTAATCTTTGCATTTGTGTAATGTCTTCGAGAATGATATAGAATACATGTATTATTCCATTCAGTAGCTTTGAGGTAGGTAGTTATTTCCTCTATTTTACAGAGGAGGGTGCTGAGGCTGAGAGGTTAGCAGCAACTCATTAACATAGCTCATTACTGATGGGTAACAGTCGACCCTGAGACTTTATTGTCTGAATCTACTGCCTGCTCCATCAAAATGATTATGTCTTATTTCACTTCATTCAATATTTACTAAACATGTATGGATTGCCTTAGAATGTACTGTATATACTAGGCCCTGGTGATTCAGCAGCGAACAAAACAGATCAAAAGAAAGCCCCATTCTTACAAAGCTTACGGCAGTGATATTCTCCCCTTGCTGCCACTCTCCAATCTAACTTTGTTTTAACTTGTGAAATACTCTATTTGAATTTTTAAAAATAATACTAGTCAAAGTCACGTATAGAACGTAAATATGTGTATCACTTACCATTGTTGTAATGGTAATTTACAGTGATTTTAATAATGCCACAATAGCTAATTTCTTAGACTGTAGTTGCTTATGTACTGTAATAAAAAAAGGAAAAAGTATAGGTTGCAAGAGAAAATTCTACACTGCTGGTATTTCTGTAATAAAACACAATATAGCTTAAAGACATTACTGATTTTATTTTGTAAACTTTGCATTATTTAGTGTCTTTTGAAAGCATTTATGTCAAGGTTTGAAATAGAAAACTCATCCTCTCAATTTAAGATACTTCGAGGGTATTAATTTTCTACTACAGAGTGTTAGAATGGTTTAAAATTCCCTATTAAGCATTTCAGAGTGTTACAGTTTTTCACTGATTTGCATTGGAGGTGAAGAATTTTATAACCTGCTTTCAAATAATAGAATCCCATTTAGAATTCTTTTACTACTTCATTAAGAAAATATAAAATGCTTTTTATCATTGTGCTATTTCTCATTATAGCTTGTTAATTTTGGCAAAGAAATGTTGTTTTACATTCCCACGTGGAACAATATAAAATAGGGTAATCTGTAGTTACTGGGTCAATTTTAACACAGATTTTTGAGCGACAAAGTAGCTGATTGGCACCCTCTGTTGGTCATTTTATTTACCTACATGCAGTAGTATAATAAAGATAAAAGTTTGTCTTTTATATTTTTCTGTGCCCTTTAAATTAGCATTACAAGTCTCAGCAAAATAATACACTAAATTGGGTTTCTAAGAATAAGGTACACTATTATTTAGCTGTGCTTTTATTTGAATAATTTTGTGGTTATTTGCTTTTTCCTCAGGCTGGCTCTCTAATTATAGCATTTAGAATTGGCATTAACATTGCAGATTTTCAAACAAGTATTTAACTGTAGCAAACTATTAGCTACAGTAGCACATTATTAAACAGATAATGTTTAACAATTTTATTGTCAATTTGGATTAATTAGAAAATATCACATTTTAGCGCCGTAAATAACAATTTGAGGAGTTATTTGAATTGAAAATAATTCAAGCTTCAGAAAAATGAGGCTAAATTACTTTGGTTCCTCTCTAATTTTTTTAAACAACAGGCTTAATTGTTCTGTAAGATTATATAGTTAATTGGATTTATGCTATAGTTTGACAATATTTGTATAATAGTTTTGTTGATTGGTCCTAGAAATGCCAATGCAAGTCATTTATAATTATAGGGAAGAAAGCTGTACTTTGCCAGGTGGTTGAATAGTTGAGAAGAGAAAATTTTTTTTGGTAAATATTCAAGTCTACTTTTGGTCGCTCTAGTATTTCAGAATATTACTTGTCTGCCAAAGCCTCAAGTTTAATCCAATTTAATAATAGCTAATGGATCTAAACTTGAGCGACCTATTCCGTAACACTCAAGTTACTTACCATATTAGAGTTTCCTTATATTTTTCATTGAAATAAGTATTTTAAGAATTTATATTATGTACTGCTCACATAGAAGGTATTTGCAGAAATATTACTTACAAACGCCAACCAGCTCTATTTGTATTTGTATTCCTTGTTCCAATTTGAGAAAGTTGAGATTTGTGTTTGATTTCTAGCGGGCCTGTCAGTATGTTATCGTCACCAAAGCGTAGTAGACTGTTCAGCTGGATTCCCCACTCTATGATGGATTAATAAACAAGTTAGTGTTCTTCAGCATGACAAACTAAACTTTAGTATAAAATGTTGAACTTGACTCTTTCTTAAATTTCTGATTCAATAAAGCATGAGTGTGAAATAATCACTGAGGAGTTTTTTTAATTTCATTCAGTGAATTCTGTATTTTAACTCAAATACTGGTGTGTTTGCAAAGTAATTAGATCGGATTCTGCGAACGTATGTCTTTAAGTCTGCTGCATTACTTTAGTTATACCTAATATGCGAGTGTGTAAATACCATGTAAATGTCCCATATGAGTTTATCACCTTAAATACATTAGTAAATTATTGGGTTGGCCAAAAAGTCTGTATGGTTTTTTTTTCTGTAAAATAAATTATATATTTTTCATTTTCACCAATAACTTTATTGATTTGACTATTTTGAGTATGTGACATGTGTAGTATAACATTGATTATTCTGAATTAATGTCTCAATTTGATCATTGTCCACAATTGGTCTATCTGACCATGAAGCATTGTCCAGTAAGAAATTGCCAAAATGAAAGTCCACAGACCACTTTTTTAAAAGATTTTATTTATTTATCTTTAGAGGGGAAGGGAAGGAGAGAGGGAGAGAAAAATATCAGTGTATGGTTGCTTCTCGTGCGTCCCCTGCTGGGAACTGGCCTGCAACCCAGGCATCGAACTGCAATCCTGTGGTTCGCAGGCCCGTGCTCAATCCAACGAGCTACACCAGCCAGGGCTACAACCCACTTTTGACATGTTTGATCAGTCACAGCACCTTCTCCACACACTGCACAAACCTTTTTTCACATTTCATTTACTCTTTTACCTTTCTTGAAGTAATAAAGCATAATATGCCAAAAATATAATGTATTTTCTTCCATCTTCAATATTAAAATGGCTACATAAAAAATCACCAATTTTGATAAGTTTTTTAATGCATGCTGATATGAAAGCTGTCACAATACAGTCTAACAAAATTGTTTCAAATGAAGTTAAAGACAACTAAGTGCTAGTAGAGCCATCTTACGGAAAAAATAAATGAAATTCTGCCCAACCCAATATTTTAGCTCATTTGAAATACACTTCACATGTAATACTTATGTGCTTAACCCAGTAAGAGAGTAAATGAAAATAGTAGGTTGATATATTTTATTTTCACATTTGGACACATGATAATGAATATATGCAATTTAAAAAATATATTTTATTTATTCATTTTTTTAGAGAGAGGGGAAGGGAAGGAGAAAGAGTGGGGGAGAAACATCAATGTGTGGTTGCCTTTCATGTGTCCCCTACTGGGGACCTGGCCTGCAACCCAGGCATGTGCCCTGACTGGGAATCGAACCGGTAACCCTTTGCTTCACAGGCCTGCGCTCAATCCACCGAGCTACACCAGCCAGGGCTATGTGCAATCTTTTAACAAGCCCCCTGAATGACATGCAGTGAGATGGTGTCATACTCTTTTGCAAATTGGTTAGATGCACTTCAAACTCCCACCCAGTCTTTCTCTAAAAGCCTCTTAGAAAATCAAACAGTAGTCAAATGAAAAGTTTCTATCTTATATGTACTTAAAGTACCTAATTAAGTTAGCTAACAGTTAACTGGCTATCCAATTTAAATAAAGACCGCCCCCCCAAAAAGTGCTAAGAAGAATACTCTTGGAAGTACTGCTCTAGAAATGGAATGCTAATCTCTAAATGCAGGATATTAAGAAATAGGATATTGGAGAAATGTGAAAGGGAGGGATTGATTTGGTCTAGTAGTAGGTAATTATTTTAAAAGATTTAAAAAGATTTTAAAAAATGGTAATAGTGTATTTATTTTATTTTATTTTTTTGTAATAGTAAATTCTCAAGTCAGACCCGGATATGTTTTATATCCCAAGAATTTCCTTTGAAACTGTTTTCTGTTGTCATGATAATATTTTCCTCTCCACAGAGCCATCCCTTCCTTTTCCACCTTAGTTAATTTTAGTTTGTTGGAATTTCAAGGAAATAAATTATTGTCTTACTGCATATAAATATAGAACAGAGTTACTTTGATACTTGTTATATTTTATGAGATAAGATACTCTTGGGCAAAAATTTATGATTGGAACGTTCATTAACTTTTTTGGGCAAGCTAGAGATATATTTTATGAAATGGTGATTCGAGGTATTACACTTCCTGGGATGTGGGCAAATATTATAAATATCGTTTATAAATGTAAGGAATAACAAAAGGCTTTCTCATTGCATAGTAAACCAGTATGTAGCCACCAGGGAAGGTAAAGCTTTTATGAAAAATCAAAGAGAATAACTCTCTTTGTTTCCTTTAAAACCAGTTAGCTGTTGACTAAACATCTTAACATTTGAGTCAAGTTCTAGTTCATATTAACTAGAAATCATTATTATTCATGGATAAGTGCTTGCTTTTAATATTTAGACATTTTGTGAAAGGTTGTTCAAACAATTGCTTACTAGAAAAGATCTTTTTTTCATTAGGTGTTTTCCTTTCGACAGTGATGTGAACTTTGAAAGTAAAGAACGAACAGCGTGTAAAGGAAAGATTGCCATATCAGGTATGTGATAGATAGGTTATTTTTATGCTGCTGAACAAATTCTGTAAAGTAACATTCCAGAGCTGGTACGGTTTTTAAAATTTTCTGTGCCTATTCTCTTCATTTTCTTCTGCATTTATCTCTATCAAAATAATTTGTAAATACTTATCATTATGCTCTACAAATAAGAAGAATTTTACAAACAATTTGAGAAACCCATTTCATACATATTACATATATTATGTAATTTTCTTCTCAGTGCAGTTTTATGAAATATGTAGGGTAGTTCTCTTTTTTATAAACTCAAAGGTTAAATGACTTCCTGTAAGCGTTTGAGTTGGGCTGCAGACTCAAATCTTTTGCCTCTCCACTCTTTCTGCTCAAAAGTTTCAATGTTTTTAATGTTTATCTAGGCTAGAAGTTCCATGAGGGTTGAACTGTTTGTTTCGTTCATCACTGTATACCCAGAAGTAACACAGTGCTTGCACATAGTAATTACCCAGTGAGTATTGATTGGATGGATGACTTCTTCATGCCTGTAGGATAAAGACCAAACATTTCCCCCCAGAGTTTTCTGTTCTGATCCAACTATTTTTCTAACTATATTTTTTACTATTTCTATACATAAGCTGTCTGCTTTAGCAAGACATTTCTCTCTCTGTTCCACCTGCGCACCCCATGCTTCTGACACCCAGTTAGCTCTTGAAATAACTGTGTTGTCTTCAGGATCTGTTTGCTCATCTATAAAGTCCTCCCTGTTATCCCAGCTAGAAATGATGCTTCTCCTCTGAATTCCTAATACAGTTAAGAGACTCTTTACCACTAGATGGCACTTACGCTGTGTTGTCTCAGTTTCTCCAAAGTGTTAAAGCTAAAGACAATGGCTTGCAGATGTCATAGATTGAAGTGAACACATGGCTGACTTGTTTGTATGCTAGTTAGATAATGCACCTTGTACAAAGACCGGAAACAGCAGGCCTCCATTGGTCCTTAAGTAATAATTGAGTTGCGTCATTGGCCAAAAGCCTTATTTTCTTAGCTCTAGGGACCCTGCTGCTGCATTTCAGGCCCTTTCACGCCAGGGATATTTTTTAGAAATGTCCTTATGTGTAAACAAAAATTCTCATAGAGGAAGGACAGACCTGAATTTCACAAAGGACATAATTATCCTGAATCAGAGGAATTGCCCTCACCAAAAATTCATCAGAAAAAAACCGAACTATGTAAAGATTTGTTGCTTGTTTTATATTTATTTATATTTTCATCTTTCTAATTATAAGACTAGAATAAAATGTCTTATGCCTCTTATATCCTTTTGATGCTGAACACAATACTTTTACATACTAGTTGGTCACTATATTAATGTATTTTAATGTGATAGATAAAATATTATAGATCTTTAAAGGAGATTTTCTAAAAATACTTAAACATAATCCTTTACTTCTTGCTTCCAATGTAGTATTAAGCACACAACTTAGATACGTTAAATTGCTATTGAACGCTCAAATGATGAAATAGAGTTAACATCTGTTGTCATTCGATAATAGTTTATTGACTGCAGCAATTCATGAAATTAGCGTTAACTGTACATTTAGAAGAGTGCTTAAGTAAAAGCATTTAAAGTAAGAGGAAACACCATTTTCTTGACCGCAGATACTCAAGTATAGAAATTAAACTTATTTCTTCATACGTTCCTTTTTTTCCAAAAGACTAGTTTAAATTCAATTAAGGAACTGAAAGTATCTGAAAATGGGATGCATGTATAATCTTTGCTTAGACAATTATACCTTGTCTGTATATTTGTAAAAAATAAAAATTGAAAATGAATTCACCCTTTCTTTTTTTAATAATATTTCTGAGATTACATCAATTATCAGGAGATAGCTGGGTTTTCATTTCCAGCTTCACCACTCACGGGGTAGATTGTTATAAAAGTAAAAAGAATACTTGAGGTTTATTGTGATTATTTGCTTAACATCAAATAAGTACATTGTGTTAAAGTTGTCTGAGCTTACTCACTGACTACTAATTCAGTGACTAAAGCCAAATCAGTTCACAAGTGCTTCAGTTTTTATTTTTGAAAATTATGATACACTTGTAGGGCCTGATAGCATCAAGTTAGCGATCCTATTTAATAGACTCTTTCAGTTTTCCATTAAAATGACAATGAAAACAAAAAAAAAGACAAAGGTCACAGCACTGTAAACTAAAACTGAGTCAGCCATTTTCCAGAATCAGAAAGGAATTTCTACTATTTGAACCTGAATTAAGGAACATAGTCGGTGGTTCATACATGTTTTGTCCTCTGACACTACTTGACTACCCGGGACATGGACGCGCCCACCTTCTGTTGCAGATCTAACATAAGCAGGCATGGGTGAAGGCAAGAGGGGCCCACAAGCTGTGGTAACCAGCAAAGGAAGTCAGGGTCCATGTTCCTCTTAAGACAGTGTAAATAGTTAATACCACCCTAATAGAACAAGAACAGCTGTGAACAAGAACAGTTGTGAAATGAAATGAGTCAGCAATTGTGGTCAAGTAAGATGCAGGCTCTTTGACAGGACAACAGCCAAGTCATAATTACAAAACAATAAAAGCAATCCCATTAAAAGCAAGAACAAAATAATGTCTATTGTATCACCATAATTTAACACAGTTTTAGAAATCCTAGCTAAAGTAGTAAGAATGAAATATGAAACTACTGAAAAGAAATAGGGAAATTTGATACTATTTGAAGACAATAGATTGCAGAACTAGAAAATTTAAGGAAATTTACTGAACTATTTGAATTAATAAGGAATTCAGTAAAATGGCTAGACTCAAGATAAATATACAATAAGTGGTAGCTGCTCTCAAAATGAGCAATAACTAGTTATGAGATTTGATGGCAAAAAAGTCCTCCTTTACAATAAATGCAATAGCAACAACAACAACAAAGAACATTTACCACCAAGAATAACCTTAATAAAAATATAAGGGTAACTTTATTGTGCCACTCTGTGTAAAGACAATATTATAACAGTATCAGTTTCCTAATTAATTTGGACAATAGAATTGTAATAAAAATTTTGGAGGGGAAATTTGGACAAAATATTCTAAAGTTCACATAAAGAAATTAGCAAGTAAGAGTAAGATGTTGCTGGAAGGATATATTCTAACAGTATATTATGAAAGTTCAATGATTATAATAGTATGGTGTTGATATTAGGCTAGATAGTCATTAATAAATTATTAAATTAGATCCATAAACTTATAGCCAAGAAACCTACATTTAGAATGACATACATGATAAAGATGGCATAATTAAATCAGTAAAGAATTTCTATTTGGTATAAATAAATGGAACTGCAACAATTATTTTTATAAGGATAATTATTTTTATATTTTGCTTCACACACTCAAAGTCTCACATGGATGAAATAATTAACTTTTAAAAGTACGAACCATAAATAATGTTAAAGAGAGAGAGAGAGAAATGGGCCATGGACACAATAGACTCACTGAGCAAGCCAATAATCTAGGAATATTTTTCTTGTTAAGCAAGAAAAAGCAAATGTAAACAATTAAGTCCTGTTACTTGACTATGAAATTGGAAATCACATTTTAAAAATCATTGTTTGGTGACATGTATGTAAAGTATTTAGCTTGGCACACAGAGAGAGCTCAATAGGTTGCGTTTTTACCAGAACTGCCAAGGCAGCAGGGTCAAGGGCGCTGATGCACACCTCCCTGGCTGCATGGGTCAGGGGTGAAGGAGTAGTATAAAGCTGTTAGAGAAAGGAAATTCAAAATAGGCACTAAGAACCTTAAAAATTGAATTCTATGCGAATAAAAATATAGACAAAAGGTTTTGGGATCTAAAAGGGAAGCCCAACCTAAATATAGTCAAACAGCTTACTTCGTTAAGATTTGTAATTAATTTGAAAGTGGCATAATTAATAAGTATGAAAAATGTGCACATAAACTTCCTAAATATAATAAGGAAGTGTGTTAAGTTTTCCACAAAGGTTTGAGTTGTTTGTGTGGTTTTCATGCTCTCTGAGTAACTAAAACCATGTGGTGGAGATCTCTAACTGTGTTGTGTAATGTGGTAGTTCACACGGCTTGATCTGTGTGGTGGAACCTTGATACTCTAACTCTGAAAATATGTAAAGAGTTTAGGAATGTCAGAGAAGTTGTTACTACTGTTGATCTAGTATTAAAAGTAAAGAATGGAGGAAACTGGGAAGGAAAAATTTTGACTATATCACAGCTCTAGATTAACTTCTGGAATAAAGATCGTCAATGCAATTACTTTCCAGTTTGAAGGGTCTGTGAATAAGAGAAAGGATGTTTAGATCACTTTTAGAATGTAAAACTTTTTTCTTGGACTGAGAGAAGTAACACATTCCTCTTTTTAGCTTTATTTCTTAAGGGAAATGCTGCAGTTTGTAACACGAATATACAAAGATGTCTGCAAATTCTTTTGTAGACAAGTTAATCTTCTTACTGGAAATAGTTTTGATCTGTTTGTCCAGAGCTACATCCCTCTCCAAAAAACCAGTGATCTTAGACAAGTCATTGAATTTTCTTCATCTTTGACTTTCGCATAGTGAATAAACTTCTCAAGTTTTTTCTGCCTCTATTATTCTGTAATAGTTTGAACATATCGACTTTTTCTGCTACCACTCAGCCCAAATAGAAATTCAACACTAGGGTTTCCCATAATTCGCTTCAAAAACATAAATCTCAAAATGAAAATGTGATGTCATAAACTTATTACAGATCTCACTTAATATGTTGATTTCTTGAGTTATAGTTGATGGGTTTTTTTAGTAAATTATGTAAATAAATGTAACAGATTTTATGTGTCTAGTCTAAGCCATTCTTAAAGGAAATATTACCTGTGTTAGAAAATTTAAATAATAAATTTTAATAGCTTTAGTGGTCAGAACCCATTATGGAATCCAGAGGTGCATTTCACTCTAAGAAATGAAATTTACCAAAATTATTACCTGTCATTTCTTTTTCCTCTCTTTATAGATATTCGAATACCACTAATGTGGAAAGACTCTGATCACTTCAGCAATAAAGAACGTATGTATAATTTTAATTTGTAATTGAAGTTTTTTCTAGTGTCTAATAAATTTGTGTTATTGGGGAAAGAGCTGCCTTCATGCTGAAATAATATAGAATTTGACAGAATATAGCAAAATTTTGCTGAACTGAGGTTTTTCTTTTTGGATTTTTAGTATAAATGTGCTGTAATTGCTTGGTACTAATTAATATAATGCATAGCTAATATACTTTTAGTTGTTGGTAGGAAACTGTGCAAGGGTAGTATGTAACAAGTTCTAAGGGAAGTTTGAAACAAAGAAAAGGCTTAAGGGGTGAAGGTAGAGGTGATGTTTCTTCCTTTTGCCCAGAATCTGGGAGATCTTTTCCGCCTTGTTTTGTTTCTTCAGATTATTTCACAGGACACAAGAGAGAAAGATTTTTAGCTTGATCTGTTTTTCTCCCCCTTCAGCATTTTACAGCTTTATATAGTCTTCACAAATCCATGTAATGTTGAGGTCATGGAAATTAACCTCAGATGATTTCTAGCTGTTAGAGGCAAAGCAGAAAAGATAAGATAATCCTGTTTCTTTCTTGTCTATTGTGATAGCTTTGTTACTCAATATTTTAAAAACTGAATCGTATGGAGCATAATTAGTTTAATATGAGGAATCCAAAATCAGGTTAGTATATGTTATTCAATTAGGAAATATCATTTACTTTACAAAAGAATACATGTGGGAATTAATACATCTTTTTGATTACTGTAGAGAATAGGTTTTTCTGAAGAACTACATTTTCTCAATAATGAGGATGTAGCCCTTTAATCACCTAATACTTTTTTAAAAACATCACCAAATTGAAAGACCCAGCAGCTATGTTTTTTTGTGTTCGCATGTCTACTTTTATTGTTTTTGTGGTTTCCTCCCTTGCTTTTAGTTTGGTGGAAAATGTTTTGCTGTTGTTAACGAGCCTGCTGTTAACATCTTATAATAGAAAACATTTTTTCTTAAATAGACTTGGAAACCAAAATGACAAAGGTAATAATATATATAATATATAATAAATTTGCTATTAATTAAAGCTTAACGGGTCTTCTAGGGATAAAATTTATGAGCTTGATGATTATTTTAGGCTGCTGAGAGGCCTATATTCTTAACTTTATTTTTGATATTCCCTAGTTTAATAGTCTTAATTGGGTAAAAAAGTCTTAATATACACTGACACAATAGTCATTATAAAAGGTTAAGGATTACAATGTACAGAAGTAAGAATCTATTAATAAATATTTAAGCTAACATTTTTCATTTTCAAGTAGATTTTTAATATAATTAGACATGATTTGACCCCTGGATCATGGCTTAAAATGTTTCTTTTTTCTCTAGGATCACAGCGTTATGCCATTTTTTGTTTATTCAAAATGGGAGCTGAAGTTTTTGATACCGACATGGTAATTGTTGATAAAACAACCACAGATATATGTTTTGAAAATGTAACTATATTGTAAGTACTTTTTTATCTTTAAAGAATGAAAATAATATAAATTTGTGCCTTTTTAAAGAGGGCATAATTATTGGGTCTTTGAGCTATTTTTGAAGCATTAGATCTTTAAATGTTTAAATTTATTTTAAAAATGACTTTATTCAAAAGAAGCCTATGTCTGCATTTGAAATTTTCCAGTTTAAAGTAAAATGGAAATTATGTTACATAAATAGTAAATATTTGACTTGAATGTTATAGATTTTTATTAACTTTTACAAAATGTTATAGTTTATTAACTAAGCTATGCATAGAAGGGAATCTCATTATAAAGATACTTCATATAAACAGGTTCTTATGTCTCACACAGGAGGTTTAGTTACAGAAATACTAAAATAGTATTACAACTTTATTTATAAGATGGTCCTGATATACGTGTCATAGGAAAAGCACTTTAATAAAATTTAAGATATTCTTTTTCTTATGGTGGACTTCTTTCATGTTCTCCAAAACAGTAAAAACTTGGAGGATCCTCAGGGCTGTTTTCATTGCTCCTGCTCTTGCAGAGGCTCATTTTATTGTGGTCATAATACAGCACCAGAAAGAACTCCTCAGGTGCCCATAGAAATCATTTTTAAGTAACACAAGTTTTTCCTGGCCCCTTTAAAAGATTCTATTGGCCTGAATCAGTGTGTGAATTGTATTTCTTTCAGGGTTTCAAAGACACTATCTTAATATGTAAATATTAATAGCTGTTTAAGTATTAAAATAAAATCAGTATGCATGGTTTTTTCCATTTTCAGCTATGGAGCTATATAGTTGAGATTTTAAAGTAATGTTATATGATTGAACACTCAACATAACATTGAAGAGAAGCAACTTTTGCAAACCATGTTTTGTGGCTTCTGTCTAGTATCCCCTAAATTGTGTAGCATGGAGAAAACAAAATGCATTGTTCTGGGTTATTAGCAGTTGTGTAGGCCTTTTTATAAGCTCTGTTGAAGCAAATTTATTTAGGATTCCCAAAATATTGCCACATGCTCACATAATTGAGACAAAAATAATTTTTCTTAGTTACATAAAGACATTTATTTCCGTTATCAGCTATTGCTAGTGCATTTTTTTCTGTCAAGGTCAACCTGATAATGGGCTTTTTTCTTCACATGACTTTGCTCTTCTTTGTTTTACCACAAAGACAAAAATAAGAATTTTTTCAAGGAAAGAACAATGCAAGTTACTTGGGAAAACAACACATGATTTGTAATTTTTTAGAAAATTTTGTAAATATTTTAAATTGTTCTAAAAATAACTGCAGTCAAATGTTCTAAATGTTGTTTAAAAATGTGCTTTTTGTTATGGTTGTTTTTAATAACTGTTCAATATTTATGAACCTCTGGTTTTCCTCTAAATATTGACATTTGTTAGTCATTACCAGGAATACTGTATGTTTAAAAGTTGCCAAATAATAAACTATAAAAATATCTGGAAATTATTCCTGGGATTTGTGCAAACTTTGGATTGGCCATTTAAATCTTCCAAAGTCTGCACTGCAGTTTTAAAATCTCTGAGGCGGGTGGATCATACAGGCAACCTCTACTGACGGAGTCTTCTGCAGCTTCGAGTGTTTTTTGTTGTTGGTGACACCACCACAGGCTTTTATGGGAGAGGCAGTTCATTGTGCCTGACAAAGGACAAAGGCCATCCTAGTGTTTGCTAAAACTGTGGAATTTCTGCATATGGGTTTAATAAATATTCATTGAATACCTTTTGTGCTAGATTAAGAGAATAAAGGTTAAGACAGCACTTGCCCTCAAGGAATTCATGTCTTGAGCATATCTCCTTATATCATTTTTTGTTTGTTTCTTGGTTTGCTTTCCCCTACATGATCGAATATTGAAATGTTGCTTTAGAGTTGTTAGGCAGAAAGGTGGGACTGGTTTATGGGATGAGTTAGCAGCATTTGGTGAGTGGATGATAAGTGATGATGAAAAAGAAATGAAAACTAAAGGTTTGAGCGGAAGAAACATTTGTTTCTGCTTTTTTTCCCCGAAACCTTTTTTTCTTCTGGAAGAATAGTCATTTCAGGAAATTACATGTATAATGTAAATACCTTAAAAATAGCTGTGTTAAAGGGATGACAAGGAGAAATAACATTGGCAACAAAATAACCAGAACATTTTATTCTTTTTCTTTCAGTAATGTGCCTGTAATGTATTGGTTAAATTGAGTTAAGATTGACCTACTTTTTAGAAGCTGGTAGCTCTGGAAGTTGCAGACTCTCTCAGGTCATTTAGATACTAAATAAACACTGGGAGAGTCTGTCTCATTAACATCTATTAACATAAACCCATCTCACATGCTGATTTTAAATGTATGAAACATCAAAGGATGTTATAATTCTATTTTCTACTGAGTTAAATTTCTAACATTATGAATATCCTTGTTTTCAGTAATGAAGCAAAGCCAGACTTTCAGATAAAGGTGGAAGTATATAGTTGCTGTACAGAAGACTCTTCTATAACCAATACACCAAAAAAATTAGCTAAGAAACTGAAGACATCTATAAGTAAAGCTACAGGGAAGAAAATAAATTCAGTGCTTCAGGAAGATCGTGAAACGTGTTTGTCCTTCAGTTGTGCTATTTCGTAAGTTTCTAATACAATATTTATAGTGACAGTATAATTATATGTTTGTGACATTTTAAAGTACTATATGTGGAGTGTATGTTTACATTTTAAATGGAAAAAAACATCCTGCAACAGAAACAAAACTTGGCTGTCTGACATTTACTCGGCTGAAGTAGCCTTAATACCTTACTTTGAAAGTAGGAATTTGAGTGAGAATGTGTTTTTTGTGATTTGGAATTCCAGTATCTACCGGAAAGATGAAATGTTTTTCTTGAAAAGGGACTATCTATCAGCTGCTAATTGAATTTCTGTATGGCATGCTTTATAGATTTAAAAATAATGTTTTACCTTTATCACAACACTACATTGCCATTATCATACCTAACAAAATAAAAGTCCTTAGTATATGTGATATCTAGTATGTATTCAAATTGCCTCAATTCTGAAAAAGTCCTTTTATGATTTGTTTGTGTAAATCAGGATCCAAATAAGGTCTACAATGTTGCGTTATAGTGAGTCTTTCAAATTTCTTTTAATCCTTAACAATTTCCTGTTTACTTTTTTCTGCTGCTTGTATTGAAGAAACCAGATCTTACAGAATTTCCCATATTTTGAGTTTAGCATAATTGCGTATTTGTGGCTTTTCTTTTTAACATCTTTTTCTGTCCCCTGTTTGTCCTACAACTGGTAGATAGTAGATCTAGAGAACTGATTAGGTGCGGGTTTTCTTTAAGGGCAATGATACTTCATATCGATTATATATACTTCTTACTATCTCCCATTAGGAAGCCCTGTCCCACTTTTAGTCATGTTAAAATTGATCGGTGGATTCAGATGTTGCCAGCCTGATTCATCTATTATAAAATTGCCTATCAATCTTTTATCTAATGGTTTTAGTAGCCATTACTGAGCATTCATTATTTCATCAGGGATTATGATTTGGTGACTTTAAAAATTTGTCCTGCATTTTTTTTAAACCTGGAATTCTCTCAGAGAAGAACTTCCCTTCATGAACTATTAATGCTAAAAATAACTGATGAAGGAAAGGCAGGGAAAAGATACTTTCTTTTATTTACCCAATTTTAGAATATTAAATTGATAGCCTGGCAATCATGGAGGTGATCAGCATTATCTTTTATTTGAACTGCTGGACTTTTATAAATTTCTGTCTCACTCTTTTATAGGTATTATTCTTTCTGAAGCCAGATTGTCCCCTATTTGATCCATGGGAAGCTTTTAAGCTGACTCCTGTGTCGTTTTGACACAACCTAATCTCTGAGAGCTTCTTTGGTTTATGACACAAGATGTTCCACTTTCATCTTGTGTTTTTCTGCCCAGGCTTGGAATTATCATTTCTTCAAGGAGCCCTGGTTTCTTTCAGATACTTTCTTTAAACATTGTGTTTGTTGCCTCAGCAGTCATTTTATGTTTCTGTTTCTTGGGAAAACTGTTGGTCGGGCTACATTCCTAGAATTTCTTTGTATGTCTTAGTAGACTTGGCTCTTCAGCATGCCAATAATTTTACTAATATTACAAAAAACAAAATACTTGAGGTATAGAACCTGGAAATATCAGTCATCAGAATGTAATTAAATAACTCTTTTTGTGTCAGATATACTTCTTTTGAAAAATGCCTCGGGCTCTATCTAGCATCCTGGCTTCCAGTCTGTTTTGATTGAGACCCATGGTGAGAAATAAATTCTATGTCATGACTGAGTACACAGCCACATCAACAGATTTCATGATGCAAAATTTAGGGCTTGTTATTTATAGTATAATTATCAGAAATTTTAATTTCTAGTTATTTTCAGCCTTTAAAAATGCTATTTATAAATTATTAAATTGATTTTGTGATCCATGAATCGGTCCCTTCCGCTAAAAAACCGTGATAGAAAATGTCTTGTTTAACATAGATGTCATTAAAAAGGAGGAAAGGAGGGGACCTTAGATTTTCATCCTTTAGAATTAAGGACATTTTTAAAGTTTTCTAGGTTAAGATTATGTCAAGTTTTTGCTGAAAGGTGCTTTAATTGAACCACAGGGTTGTGGAACTATTTCTTTTTGATAATTAAATACGCAATTATATTTCTAGGTCAAAACAGAGATTTTAGGACTGAAAGAGACCTTAGAGGTAATCACCAAATTCAGTAATTTTAAAACTTATTTAAGCAGGAAAGTTTCTTATTTAAAAACAACAGGACCAGTTTTGTTCTGGACCAGTTACAGTATTCCCAGGTCCTCTACTTTCTCACATGGAAAGTAAGGGTGGTTAGACAAAATCGTTTCTTTTTAGAAGGCTCCTTAGAGACATTTTTAGGGTTTTATGCACCTTGAACACATATAAAGACAATGAGTGACTCTCAGTTTATGACTTCATTGTAGGGCAGTGAATGTTTTCCATTTTGTATCTGCCATTTATTTGTGTGACCCGGGGCAGATTAATTCACCCTCTGGGTTTTTGTTTTTTCCTATGTGAAATGGGAACAATGGTAATAATGTAATTGTATCGAACTCCATAGGATCATTATGAGATTCCAAAAGATAATTCCTGAACTTTATATGTGGTAAGCATTTAATAAATATAGCTCTTACCATTATTGTTGTTATTCTGAGACCAGTGGTTTTTGAACTTTTTTTTCCAACTCATGCTGAAGCATAGCCGTGTAGAAACTTGACACGGATTATAAAATGCAGACATATTTCAAAATTTAAAATCATTGTTTATTATGTCATAGAGCATAATCTAAGTAATGTTTGAACTTGTATTTAACCTACATTCCTCTTTGAAGCCTAGTGGAATTTTTGAGAATAAAATTAGTTGTTATTAAGCTTTTTTCTAAAGTAGGGATTGACCTACCTGTTTTGAAGCGTTTCTTCTATTTAGATTTGTCATTCTACTTGGTTTATATGTGAATCCAAACAATAATTTTCCTTATGAACATTTTCCATGAAACTTGCATATCATGTGTTTATACCATCGAAGTAGGTCAAAAGGTGGAATAAAGCCTTTAACAGTATTTCGCGAAATATTCTCCTAATACCAGCATCTGATGGGAACCCAGAGTGGATGAGGTTAAACTCACAGCCCAGGACTACTCTTACCTGGTACTTCTTCAACTGACCACTTCAGCACCGTGGTAAGAGTTTGAGAGTAGAATTAGTAAAAAGAGTGTTTAGGGGATAAATTTTATTTATGTAACAGTGATCTAGTTCAAGATCAGTGCAAAGATTCCTAATACAATTTTAAAGTTGTAGCCAAAATGGGCACTAAAGATCAAAGTTGGGCAGTATATATCTTCTCTAGTAGTATGGTATGTGATCAAATACAGCTGTTCTTCCTGACAAAAGTGTGTACTTTTTTTAGACTACCATTTAAAGTAGTAATTTATTTTTTTCATAACATTTTTGGATACCCCCGCACCCAATCTTATAACAATTGGCCTTTTTAATTTAAAAAATGTAGCTGATTAAACTTTTGGGAACTCAATATTAGGGTTGGCTAAAAGGAATGAGTGTAATGTTTTAGTAAGAAAATGTCATCCTGACAAGAATGTTTTAAAAGTGAGATCATTGTTGCTTTTGGAAGCATTGCCATTGTAGTTAGTCATGGCTTAAAAATGAAGTAACATGAAATGTCATCATAAAGTATTGTTTGATCTGAAGGAGGACAGTGAACATTTTTGGTAATTTTAGCATGCTCCCTCATGTGATTTCATTTATTCATTTTATTTGTGGAATTTAGCTAGATTTTCCCAGTGACTCTAATAGCTAAATTCACTACCTTATGCTCCATAAGAGGTATTCAGCACATTATTTTTCATTGTGCATATAAATATACATCATTTTAAACAGCCATCTTGTGAAAACTGGTAAAATTGACAATGATTATTTACTTGACAAAAAAGTGTATTAACTTTAAAAAGCCACTATGCTATATTTTAAATTAGATTGAAATTATAAAACTAGTATACTAACACTTGTCCAGGCTAAATGGGTTATTGATGTTTTGAGGAGTAAGGGTGTTAATGGTTTGGTAGTACGAAATATTATGCAGTGTTCAAACATAACTAAGGACTTACTCAACTACTGAATATAACTTATTCATTTATTTAAAGATCTTAGGAATGATTATCGAGTAGCTATGTCATGTGGTACATTGGAGTCAAAGGTTAGTAAGTCATGTTCCATGCAGTGAAATATGGTCACTGTGTATCTGTTTTAACAGAAGAAGTACCTTAATTCTGAACAATTCCTTAATGAAGCATAAAGGTACTAAGTATAGTACAGTAGGCTTCTCTTTCCATATACCACTTGCTAGCTGCAGGCAAGTTAATTACATTCTGTGAACTTGAGTCTCTCCATCTGCAAATCTCTGCCCTGCCTACCTCAAGTAGTTATTATAAGCCTTTAAAAAGAGATTGCCTGTCAAAGTGCCTTCCGCTGCACGTTGGTAGATGGAGGATCATCACGTTTTGCATGTCTGTGATTTTTAGGGGAAGTTTTCAGCCTACTACCACTTCACCACATTTATTACTTCATTACAAAAGTAATATAAACTTGAGAAGTAGAATCTAGAAAAGTTATTCATAGTTCAACCACTCTAAATCAAATACTTTTTACAATTTTGAACTAATATTTTTCTTCTGGGTTTTAAAATAACTAGCTTTAGGGGAGATTTAGATAGTCACAATTATACCGTGCATTCAACTTTTTTTTAGAGTTATTGCAGTCTTCACAAAATCATTTTAATGACCACATTATCTATCTAAATAAATGGTTTATTTAACTATTCCTAGAGGAGATTATCAATAACTTTTTTGGATTGTTATTTTCAGATGTGTCATTCATTGGAAATAGAGGCAAACGTGTTATATGTTTACCTTAAAGTAGTTGAGGAAAAGATGTTTTAGTCACAATCATTTCTTAAGGCTTGAGGGGAAAAAAGTAAACATTTGTGTTGTCATCACGTAAGTTTAGCCTATCCTCCCACAGAGACTGCTTCCTAAACATGCCACCGC